GAACTCTGCTTGTCTCTTAATAAACTCAAGGCTGGATCTTGGATCTTGACCACAGACAGGAGCTGCCCGCCTCAAATGGAGAGGACACCCGGCTCAGCAGGATTGGCTTCTGTACCCACGATTCTCTTTCTCTTTGGAGCTCTCTGCTGCCATTGACTACCTTTAGGTCCTGGGCTCGACTTTATTATAGTAACCAGTGAGTCTCTTCAAATGCTACCTTTCCTCATTGGAATCCAGTTTCAGAAGCAGTATTCTTGTGCAAGTTTGGAGATGGTTTATCACGATTACATTTTGGGTTGGCTGCTTTCCGATTACCTGGTTGGGGGCTATGGACCATCATCTCATCAGTTAAGCAAATTCTACATCTTACTGTAGCATAGATCACTTCCAGGAAGCATTCTGGGAGCTAGGTATCCCAGGAACACTGTACCTTGTGACCTTGTCTTTACATTTTGGGGTAATGATTTACCCAGGGCACAAAACTTCAACCATCTGCATGCTAGAACAGCATTTTAATATTTCAATACCTGAAATATAGTGAAAAGTGGTTTTAAGACAAAAGATCTCAAAGATCTGAAGTTAGGCTCTGCTATTTAAAAGCTGTGCCATTTCTAGACAGTTATTTTGTATTCTTTGCAGTTCCACTTATCCATGTATAAAATGAGTTATGATACCTATTTCAAAGAATTGTTGGGGCCAAAATAAAATGACCCAGGCTGGCCAGTTAGTTCAGTTGGTTAGAGCACAGTGTTATAACACCAAAGTCAAGGGTTCGAATCCCCATACTGGCCAGATGCATAAATAAAAATAAATAAATAAATAAAAGCTAAAATAAAATAAAATGACACAAATATAAGCACCCAGTCCAGTATCTTGACAACACACAGGCTCAGTGAATGTTGACTCTAACACCTGGGAACCCCAGCCCGGGGGTACAGGTTTTCCTACCATTTAGGAGACTGTGAGGTAAACCAAGGGGAGCCAGGCCAGCTCTCACAGATGTAACCATCAGACAGTTGCCTCCTTGACCACATTTCCACGTACAAGAAATAAAAGTTTTGGCAGGATTATTTTCCAAACCAAGGGAAAATTTGTCTACTGTGTATATTAAGCTGAAGACACCAACAAGTTTCTGATGATTAGGTATTTTTCCTGCACACTGGATTTGCTGAATTGGCATTTAGTCTGTTTGCAAGTGTTTTCTTTACATACTTGTTCATTTCCCCCTTTTACAATAGCAATCCCTCAGCAATTCATGATGTTCTTTTCAAAGGCCTCTTTTTTAGTCTTTTTTTTTTTTTTTTTAAGTCCTCAACTTACTCAACTTAGGCAGTGTTTGGCCATATGGCACATAGCTGATCAGAAGTATTACTGTTTAAGATGCCAAATTTAAACAATAGAGGAAGGGAAACGTGGATGTAGCTGAGAGTTGCAAGCTCAGATGTCAAAAGAAAGAAGATGAAAATAAGAAAAACCAAACTGACTCATTGATATTTTGGAAATAAAGTTAGTATAATTCCATTAATTCAGTAACTCTCCTTTGCAAAGGTAGGTATACTTTCTGGGAATTTAAAGAAATCAGCTGTCTTGCAGGGACAATATGAACCCACTGCAATTCTGTCAAATATAAATCTAGATTTCTAGATCATCAGTTATACTACAGTCTTATTTTTAGAATTATCTGGGATTACCCACCCCAACATGCATATGAATCCAATTTTTGAAATAAAATTAAATGTGAAGTGAAAAATAAATGAATCTTCCAGATGCTGAATCTTCTTTAATTGTCCTACTTAGATGGTCCCTGAATCTCTTTAATAGAAATTCTGCCTTAAGGAGAAGTCTGCAGAGCCATGTATGTAGTACAGTCAGGCTACGTCATGATTCACGATTAGATGTATAAGGAAGCAAGATAGTGAAATTGCTTAGGGCTGAGTTCAGAAGCTAGATTGCCTAGGTTTGAATTCTGATTGTCACCACCTATTAGCCATACATGTAACCTGGGGCAAGTTACTTAACTTCTGTATAATGCCAGTTTTCACACCTGGAAAATGAGGATGATATTAATTCTTATTTTTAAGGATTGTTATGACTACATGAGCTAATACATTTAAATGGCTTAGAATAGTGCTGAGCACTATTCTAATAATAAATCTTAGCTCTTGTTATTTCTCTCTAATATTAGGAACATTTCTAGCCAAATAAGTAGATTAGACTCTTTTCCATCCTTAGCTGAATTAGACTGGTGATAAACTGGGACAGATATTCTACATACGATATATAAGATTGCAACAATATCTGGATATTCCATTATCTGTGGAAGAGAGAAATATGGAATACTAGTACAATTAACTAGTACATAGTAAAACTAAATTTTGAACCCAGGTATCTTTGCTTCAAAGACCAATTTGTTCCCAATGAACCCTGCTGAAAACTCAACATGAGTTGACAATGTGCCATGGCTGTTAAGGTAGTGAATGTGGTGGCAGACAGATGGTATTCTTAAAGGCTATCGTCTACGAGAGACGGATGATGACCCTGCTCCTTCTGGATTGGTCAAACCATGCTTCCAAAAGTGATCAGTGGGTGGAGAGATGTGGAATCGTGTCCTGTGGTGGCCTTTAGAAGGGGTTTGAAGATTTAGCCCAAATAAGAGAAGACAGCTGTGGACAGAGCAGTCTTCAATCAATAATCAATTTATAGAAAGTTGAGGGAGAGAGAATTCAACTTAATATGGGTAAAAACTTTCTAATAGTTCAAAGTGCTCAAGCCTCTCTGTTTTGGGAAATTATAGATTGGAGAGGTAAAGAAGAAACTATTTGATGGGGTGAAGTAGAGGAATTTTTGTTTAATTAATTCAACATACATTTGTTGAGTACCTCCTATAGGCCACGGACAGTACATGAGTTAAGTTCCTTTCAAACTTGAAATTCTATTATGAAGCTAGTTCTATTTTGCCCAAATGGGACTAAATAGAACCTCATATCCTGCTCAAAACTTCAACTTTGACCACTATACTAATTGGCATAAACATCCTTGTAATTAATTTTAAAGTTAATTATTCTCCTTTTCCTGCTCTAATTAACCTTTGTATTTGCTATAAAGTGGGGTCAGTCTCCTCCATAATAACCTGGATATTGTTCCTGCTCCACGTTCTCCTACTGTGAGCTCCCTTTTAGCACTGGGGAAACAAAAATTAGTTTAGTCAGCAGTATAAGGACAGGAAACTAAAGGTTTCCAAGTACATTTTTAAGGGGAGGGGGGCAAGAAATGCAAAATAAAAAGGAAAATAATATCCACTTCAAATCCATGAATTGATAGTTCACCAGCCATTCTCTGAATGCATCCTGTAGTAGAGTTCTACATTTTTATTTTCTGATTCTTGTCCTAAAGTGAGTCCCTTAGGCTTAGGATTCCAAGCTAAAAAAAATGGATACAGTGTGTTAAATAGGAGCTGTGGTCAGAGCTGAAAGTGAGTTTGAGTGGTTTCTGTAGAGGCTGCTAAGAAGACCTGCCGTGTGACAGGCAGAGAGTTCTACCATCACTGACCAAAGTGTATGTCACCTTCATTTCTCTCTGTTTTCCAAGTCAGCCTCCCAACCTTCCAACTCATAAAACCTCAATCAGGGCTAGCTGGTCAGCTCACTTGCTTAGAGCATGGTGCTGATAACACTAAGATCAAAGGTTCAGATACCTGTACCGTCCAGTGGCCAAAAACAAAACAAAACTCAATCAGTGTTTGCTGAAGTATAGAGTGCTAGAAAGTTGAAACAGTGGGCAAAGTAACAGGGAGAAACCTTGGGAGTTGAAATTTAACTTTGAGCAAGTCATTTCTGTTCATTAGGAAGACTTGTGCTCTGAGAAAGGAGATGGCCCAGGACTGTGGTTTTCAAACACAGGTCACAGCCCATTGTAAAATCAATGTGTTAAAATCACATTTTTACAATGAAATAGAATGGAAAGTTCCGGAGTGCTTTGCATACAGCAAGGGTATTATTTCATGAAAGTTTTATTTCAGTTTCATGTAAATACACATACATTCACACATACATACATTCACATGCACATACATATGTGTGTACAGAGTTGTGAAGTTAAGGTGGACATCTTTCCATGGAGAGCAGTCACAAATGTTTGAGAAATGCTGGCCCAAGAGACCCCAACTACTTATATTGTAAATGTGAGTTTAAGTTGGCAATGTGCGGTTCCTGGTGTTTTTTTAATTACTTAAGACTTGGAATGTGTGGGTTAATCTGTTCATACAACTTGGGTCATCCATGCCACTGCTGCATGTGTGTCTAAACATGAAAGAATTTTTAAAAAAGAGAGAGGGAGAGACCCCCTCCCCACCGTCTGTAATTAGGGCCACAGGAAGGACCCCAGACTGAGAAAATGGTTTTAATTAATTAATTAATTAGTTAATTATTTTTAAAAGATGACCGGTAAGGGGATCTTAACCCTTGACTTGGTGTTGTCAGCACCACGTTCACCCAGTGAGCAAACCGGCCATCCCTATATGGGATCCGAACCCGTGGCCTCGGTGTTAGGAGCACCGCACTCTCCCGAGTGAGCCACAGACCGGCCCGGGTAAGGGGATCTTAACCCTTAACTTGGTGTTGTCGGCACTACGCTCTCCCAAGTGAGACACGGGCCAGCCCTAGAAAATGGTTTTAGATCCTCTATTACTAAATTGACAGATTAAATGGTATTTTAAAATATTGCGATAAAATATACATAATTCAAACAGATTAATGTTTTTATTTTTTTTATTTTTTTTATTTTTTTTAAAAGATGACCGGTAAGGGGATCTTAACCCTTGACTTGGTGTTGTCAGCACCACGCTCAGCCAGTGAGCGAACCGGCCATCCCTATATAGGATCCGAACCTGGGGCCTTGGTGTTATCAGCACCGCACTCTCCCGAGTGAGCCACCGGGCCGGCCCCAGATTAATGTTTTTAAATGTTATTTCCATGTGACGAACAGGGAAACTGAAGCACAGAGCCATTAAACCCATCGTTCCACAGCACGGTTGGTGAGAGATCTGGGACCAGCTGCTGACTCTTTTTCACTACATAAGTGGCTTCTCCGGTTTGTTTTTCCTGCCATTCCTCCCTCACCCAACAGCAAGACTGCTTTCATCTCCAGGTGAATAAAAAAAGAGAGGAAGGAAGGATTTTCTAGCTGATGACCCCCGTACCCTCTTCTTCAGCAGTAATCCCCATAAAGAAGCTGTCAGGTATTTCTATAGAGTAGGATTTTTAACACACACCACTGGGCTCATTCTCACTTTAGAGCCTTAAGTTAACCAAGCCTTTCTCCTCTGTTGAAATGCCTTCTTTCTTCCGCTTTATGAACCCAAATCCTATCCCAGCCTGCAGACATTTTCCATGTCACGTTTCTGCCTGACCCCAGTTCACACCGCCCAGACTCTGACTCAGCCAATGCTGACCAAGAGTCTATTATGTGACAGTCATTGTTTTTAGGAACTTCCACATGCCTTATCTCATTTAACCCTATGGAAATCCTGTGAGGCAGGTATTTTTATTCCAGTTTTAGAGCTGATACAACTCAGGCTCAAGAAAAGCGAGAACTCCAGCTCCTTGACTCTCCAGGCTTTGTGCTCTTTTCCACATAACTCAAGGTCTTTTTGTTTTTTCCTTAGCACATTGTACATTTCTTGCCAACCTCCAGTTTCCTTTATGAAAATTCTAAAATACATGATTTTATTTCTGTGTACCTTTTGGAAGAACTGCATTAATTTTAGTTCCAAGGTAAGGTAAGTCTTATACCACATTTTGTGGAAGATTGGAAATTGAATAATATCCATTTCAGTTATGCTGGATACTTTTTCTTTTCTTTTTTGCAGCTGGTGGGTACCAGAATCCAAACCCGTGATCCTTGGTGTTGTAAGGCTGCACTGTAACCAACTGAGCTAACCGGCAAGCCTGAATACTTTAAATAAGTGTTACCAAAAACATATTTCATTGCAAGCATCCGAGTTCCTGGGTCTCCAGAAGTGGGAGGTAATACTTTGTAATAACGTTGTAATAACGGCAACAACAATACGACGAAAATCAGATTTGAAAAAAAAAAGTCTTTGAACGTTTGTATGGAGTAGGATGCAAAGAAAAATTGCCTCACGTACGTATAGGTTCTGCCACTGAGAAAGACAAATTTATACTCATTTACTTGAAATTGCTGAGGAGGGAGATCCTGCAAAGCATCTAGTGAGAAAGGGTTTGTAAAGGGAATTTAATTGCATAGTGTCCGTTATTACTAATAAAAGCATGAAAATGAAAATATAATTGACATCCTCTTTAGTGTCGTCTTTATTGTTTCATTTTAGTGAGTATAAAATTTTTTATTTGGACTTTCATATAAATGAATGGTCCTGACGTCTACTAAGCCCATTTTCTCCATGACGATCTAAGATTTTCACCTGAAAATACTAGCACTGTTTCTTTTTTAAAGATACCGCCAGTCAAGAAAAGGTAGAGGGGACTCGGCCCGCTGTCTGAATTCCAAGGCGGCCGGCCCCTCCACGGCTAATCCGTGTCCATCGCATTCCTCGCCCTAACCTTTTTCTGGGTAGATCTACTGAGGTGCATCGATGCTCTTGCTTATACTATTTTTAAATTATTTCTCTTTGGAGAGAGATTTTAGGGAACGGGGGAAAAGGGAAGGGCGGTGGACAAATCCCAAGAACTTTCCCTGTTTTAGAGCTGAATAAGGGGGAAGAGCAGGAGCCGGAGGCTCGGAAACAGATTTGCATGTTAAACAACTGCGTCCCCGAAGGCTGTAACCTGGAAATCGCTTTATCTGCAACTCTTTTATGGTCCAGGGCCTTTTCTCTCATTATAACTATGTGTAAACATTTTATTTTCTTCACTGGTATGTAGGTTACTGACCAGAGGGAGGAAGAGGGTGTGAATGTTTGGGGAAGATTTTTAAAAGTGACAAGAATCCAATTTTATTCATTTGTTATGCATTGCACAATCCTATAACGGTAATGGCAAAGAACATGAAAATTAAACTGTAATCCTATTACACTAATAAATCGCTGGTTTCTATTTTCCCTCCCATTCCCTCATGCATTAAACATTATGCAAAGCACCCTGTCAGTCTTGGTTCAAATGCCCCTTGTATTCATCCTGAATATAAATTTGCATTTTGCTTTTAATTCTTTTTTCCTTTTTTACTTAAGCATTTCCGAGGCTGCAAAATATATATTCACAGTATGGCTTTAGTGGCTGCTAACATTCCATCCTGGGCATACACTTTAAGGAACTATTTTATTTTTATTTTTAATTTTTATTATTTTTTTAAAAAGATGACCGGTAAGGGGATCTCAACCCTTGGCTTGGTGTTGTCAGCACCACGCTCACCCAGTGAGCAAACCGGCCATCCCTATATGAGATCAGAACCCGGGGCCTTGGTGTTATCAGCACCGCACTCTCCCGAGTGAGCCACGGGCCGTTAAGGAACTATTTTAGTGTAAGTATCCAATACTTAAGAGGCAAAGCTAACACATCTGACCTTGCAGTGCAGGGACTGGAGGTCGGTCGAGGCTAGGCGGAATGCTCCCGGCTACCAGGGCTGCGTTCTGCGACAAACGCGGAGGCTAAAGCCCTTGCGCCAATCGTTAGGCCCCAAGGCCACCTGCTTTCTTGGCGCCTTTTCCGTTTGAACTCGCTCCGCCCCTCGCGCCCCTGCCCGTCCGGTTGCGCGCGCACCCTCGCCCCGGGCTGTCTCGGAATACCTCGGTAGGTGTACGTGAGGCAGGAAGTGACGCTTTGGGGGGCGTCGGGAGGGCGGGGCCAGGCTATAAAACGCGGGTTGGGACCTACTCTTTCCTTAGAGGGCGTCCGGATCGCGGGTTGTGGTTTAGCCGGCGGTCGACGGCGAGGTGCTTGTGTGAGTGACGCGCCGCTGCTGGGACTCCGCCGACCCTGTGTCCTCCCCGCAGCCTGCGAGGCTGGTCCGAGGTTTCTCCGGGCCGGCGCACTGCGGTGCTGTCCAGCAGCCTTTGGAAGCAGCAGGGAGAGCGGGGAGGCTGCGGCGGCGCCGGGCGGGCGGGATGGAGCCGGGCCCGCGAGCCTGTGGGGAGGGGGCTGCGGCGGCGCGAGTTGCTGGGTGCAGGTGCAGCGGGGTGGAGCCGCTGTGGGGAGAGGGGCGTCCCTTTGCTTCTGGTCCGTTCCCTTCTTTGCCTTTCAGCGCCCTCCTTGGTCTCGGAGCGGCGAATGGCTTCTCTATCAGGACTCTGAGGGCGAGATGAGGGATATTCCATGGTCGTTCTGCGCCCTGCCCTTCTGCTTCCTGCTCCTCACGCCCCCGCCGATCTCCGTTCCTCACTCGCTAGCTCTTAAAAGCTGCAGGCCCTCCTGAGCCCGCTCTAGGCCGCGGGTTTGGGAGCGCTGGGGCAGCCACCCCGCGACAGCACGGGCATGCATGCTCGGCCGGGAGCACGTGGCTGCTCCAGAAAGTCGCCCCAGGGAAAGGCTGTCGGGGTTCGTTGGGTGACCTTGGGCTCGTAACCCTTCGCTTCCAGGGGGCCAGGCGTGCCCTGGTCTCTGAAAGGGACAAAGCTGTCCCCGATTCAGTTAGGAGCGTGTCATGGGCATTTAGATGGGGGTTTGTGTACACTGTACATTTGAACTCCGGAACAACCTGATTTTTCTTGCCAGGCTCTGCCTGGTTTCTTGCATGTAGATTCTATTTTCCCGAGGCAGAGTCCAACTGAGCGCTGCAGGTGTTCGCATTAGGAATATTGCTAGCAGTCCCCGCTACAAGATGGGAGACCATAGGAATAAGACTTTTTGTAAAAGCTATTTGGATATTAGCGGTATGGTCAAAGAACTGGGCTGTATTGATAAGCGCTGTGGAGAGCCATCGTGTCACTGTTTCTGTTGGACAGCTCTCTAAGGTGGTAGTGGGGAGGGTTAGTGATAAAATATTTTGTGACTTAATTCTTTTCGGTTAACACTTTCTCTCTGCCCACTTGCTTGCAGCGACTTTGTAGTCATTTATCCAGTGGACTTGAATACTGCTTCATTTTCCTTTTTTTTTTTTTTTGGTTAGAGGATTGAAGTAGGAAATAGTAGTCCTGATACAGAAGTGTTTGGCTACCTGATACTTTTATTCTAGGATTAGATATGAGTTTGGAATACTAGATGCTGACTTAATTGTCTCAGACCTGGAGAATTTGACCTCATTGACAAAGACGTTTAAGCTGATTTCCAGAAGTTATCTTCTGTGAAAATTAAATTAAGCTTAGGCTTTCTAAAAGTACTGTGGGCCCTGCTGGGCTTTTTTTCTCGGCTTCGGATTATAATAATCTCAGTATGCTTTACAAGAAAATTCAGAGTTTAAAATTTTTTGTTATTAATATCAAATGTTTTCCAAAGGGCTATGTATAGCATAGCACCCTTTAAGTTTTCTTCTATGGGATGTTCTCATCAAGTAATGGTGGTAAACCTAGTCTATGTTGAAGGTGGATGAGTAGAGTAGTTTGGCCTAAGGCCAAATTCTGCCCTAAAGTGAGGCGGTTATTTGCCTCTGATAATGTACTTATCTATAATGGAGCAAGGTTCCCAGCTAAACCTGAATCAGACGGCAATGAAAGCTTGTTAAAAATGACCCTCTGGAGGCCGGCCCGTGGCTCACTCGGTAGAGTGCGGTGCTGATAGCACCAAGGCCACGGGTTCGGATCCTATATAGGGATGGCCGGTTCGCTCACTGGCTGAGCGTGGTGCTGACAACACCAAGTCAAGGGTTAAGATCCCCTAACCGGTCATCTACAAAAAAAAAAAAAAAAAAAAAAAAAAAAATGACCCTCTGAGGCCTTTTGGAACTATTCTGTGTAGGTGCTTGTGTTGGTGCTTGTGTTGTGTGCTCTCCCAGATGAACACTACACAAAATAGATTGCATTGACTTCAAGTGGTTCAGACCTTCAATTTGGGCAATGTCTTTTCAGAAAACTGTATGGGAATGAAGATTCTGCTTGTTTTCTTTGATTTCCTTTACTCCCCTCTAGTTTTAGGCCCATGAAGTCAGACTTTTAAAGCTGGGAAAGACCTTGACCATCTCTTGTCAAGTCATTCTGGGTATATACAAGCATATGAGTTCTGAGGACCTTGCAGAAGTTCTGTATGTTCGTGTAATAGTTTCTTTTTCACCTGGCAAATGTGTAGTTGTCTAGGGAAATATTTGCATGTTATCTACAACCAGTTGCTTGAGATCTTGGAGCCCTACCAGGTAAACTTTAAAGTTTTTCTACTTTAGGGGCCGGCCCGTGGCTCACTCGGGAGAGTGCGGTGCTGATAACACCAAGGCCGCAGGTTTGGATCCCATATAGGGATGGCCGGTTGGCTCACTGGCTGAGCGTGGTGCTGACAACACCAAGTCAAGGGTTAAGATCCCCTTACCGGTCATCTTTAAAAAAAAAAAAAGAAGTTTTTCTACTTTAAAAAAAATCTCCCTAGTACCCAAGCTTTGCCCAGTGATTTCAGGATAAACCAGAATAGTGTCAGGGATGAGAAAAGATTCCATCCAAGGTTTTCACAATATTTTTTCCATATCATTTGGAATCTCATATGCATTAAGCATGTCCTAATACTGTTGAGAAATAAAATATATTTACCCCTTATTATCACATAAGTCAGTATCAAGTATCACAGAATAGGAAAATCAGAGAAGGCTTCAAAGAGAGGGCCCTTGAACTGAACCTGGAAGAAATGAGTAGGACCTCAAGGAACTGGAAGAATGTTAGTGTGTAAAGGCAGGGGCTGTGCTCTGTCTTATTGGGGAGAAAATAATAGAGGGCAGTGAAATTGTTATTAAGCAGTGAAGCTTTCTAGAACAGAGCCTCAAAAGCGGTAGAAGAACTTCATTTTATGTAAGCTCTAAGGACTTGAACAAGTGGCCTGTTTTCTAAATTGAAGTGGGCTTTCAGTAATAACAAACAACTGGCTTATTCCTATTTCAAGAAAAATGGAGTAGCAGCTTTAATTACATTATGCATAGGTAAAAGTGTATTTTTGTACCTGATCCCCTCACTCCCCTTAACTCTGTGTATTGTGTACAGATCTCTGGTTTTGAGACACTCCAAAATAGCTTAATACCTCAAAATAATTACTGTATTTTAAAAATTAAATATAATTTAATGCCATATTTTAAGAAAGTAGGAATATGATTGAATTTTTTTTTTTTTTTGTCTTTTTCCGTGTCCGGCAACGGATCGCAACCCTCAGTGTCGCCCCCGTACCGGACCGGGACCGGAACCATCGGTGTTGCCCCCGTGCCTCGCTCACTGGCTGAGCAGGAACCGTCTGTATGTGGGATCCGAACCCTCGGGCGGGAGCGCCACTGCGCTTCCCAAGCGGCGCACTATCCAGTGCGCCACCAGGCCGGCCCGGAATATGATTGAATTTTAAAGAAGTTTGGGGTTGTAGTCCAGCTAGTATCTTTGCCTGCTGCCCCTTATCTTCCATTTCACAGCTCAATTAGACATTTCAGATCTTCCTTCAATTTCATGGTTAAAACATGTGGGGCTATGTTTTGCTTACCTTAGTTTTCATAATTAATATGAGAAATTGAATAGTTTTTTCAGGCATTGGGAACACCAAAGATATACAAATAGCTAATACAAATAAAAATCAAAGTGATGTTTGGTTTGTCTCGTGTGATAGATTATCAGCATTTGGAAATAGTTTTTGGCTTTTAGATGTGCTTTTTTAACTACCTGTTTATAGACAGGATGGTTTTATAACTGGTATGAAAAGCTTCTCTCATGCTTTTAGAACACATAAATTAGAGTGATTTCAGTTGGAAGAAAATTCATTGAGGTTATTTTAAATAGACAGCTTCTTTACTATGTATAAGGTTCATTTTGAAAGAATGACTCAATTTGTTATATATAAAACTTGAGGAGTAACTTTTGTAGATATCATAGAACTATTGTGGTCTTCAGAGATGTGGAGTTAAATGAGTTTAAATGGAAATTGCCTAGGTCACAATTTTTTTCTCTGACTTGATTTCTTTTATGTTACAGTCTTAATTTTGTGTCTGGGGGTTGAAATGGAAGTAACATCTGTTTTCTCAGTAAAAATATACTTAGATTTTAATTATACATAATCATAATTACATATCTATTTATATCTACCTGTCTCTGCAGACTCACAATCGCTCAATCTCATCATTTAAAAAAATTATTTAGATCACTTATTTAAGTATTATCACTTTAGTCTTAAAATTAATTTAAAACTGGAAAATGTTTCAGATGTTAAACTTGTAAACAGCTTACATTTTTTTCCTAGAAATGGGTGATTAAAATTGGTTCAGGGTGGGGCCTTCTAGTTCTGGCTCTAGTGATTGGGTCTGTACAGTTCTGGTGCAGTAGCAATGATAAGCTTTTTGTACCAGAAGGCGCAAGAGATTGTACTTCTAAGAATATGATCTATTGCATATTGACTCTGGTCTTTAAAGTTTGGGGCTTTAAAATTTTTTTTTGTTAATAGGTTTTAGATAGACTTTTTTTTTTTTTTTTTTTTGTCTTTTGTCTTTTTTCCGTGTCCGGCAACGGATTGCAACCCTCAGTGTTGCCCCCGTACCGGACCGGGACCGGCAACGGGATCGCAAGCCTCAGCGTTGCTCCCACGCCTCGCTCAGCCAGTGAGCGGGAGCCGGTCTGCACGTGGGATCCGAACCCTCGGACGGGAGCGCCGCCGCGCTTCCCAAGCGGGCGCACTATCCAGTGCGCCACCGGGCCGGCCCTAGATAGACTTTCTAATGATAACCTATATAACGTCTTTTCATTTTACAGTCTGTGTATACCTCACAACTTGTTTTGTGCCATGTGGGTGTTTAATATGCTGTCAGATTACTTGTATATAGGAAAAATCTTAAAATAGGTAGTAATAAATGTCCATTTTGTAAATCTGAACATAATATCACTTTCATTTTTTTTTTTTTTTTTTTAAAGATGACCGGTAAGGGGATCTTAACCCTTGACTTGGTGTCGTCAGCACCACGCTCAGCCAGTGAGCGAACCGGCCATCCCTATGTGGGATCCGAACCCGGGGCCTTGGTGTTATCAGCACCGCACTCTCCCGAGTGAGCCACGGGCCGGCCCATAATATCACTTTCAAACAAATAGATGCACTCAAACTAAATTAGAAAATCCAGATTTTAGTTAAGGCTTTAACTTAACATGGGACTCTCCTGATTACAGAGGTGTCTTTTGCTTTGAAAAAATGTTAAGATTAATTTCTTAAATTTCCAGAGATGAGAATGCAATTTCTATAACCCAGTAACCCCATTGAATTTAATTTTTAGATGATCAGTTTTCAGCCATGAACAACAAGCCTCTCGGATAATTGGCCTCTTCATGCTACAAAATAGCATGATCTGTGTTTATTTTTGTCTGTTCTTTTTGTGTCAGAGATCTATCAAATCATTTGTAGGAACTGTTCATTTAATCAGAAGGATTAGGATTTCTCTCCTTTTTCTTTTTTTGTTTTGTTGTGTTTTGTTTTGTTTTGTTTTGCAGCTGGCTGGTACAGGGATCCAAAGATTTCTCTCTTTTCCTGTTGGAGATGATTGTTGGTCTTTGTAGCATGACCAGTCTTGATTTAATTGTTTTAGTTTGTAGTTTTGTTTTACAGTTTTTTCTAGGTGATAGTCTATTGTCTTTTTGTATTTTCTTTGTCCTTTTTCTTTGACTACTAAATTCAATTACTTAAATCTACTTATCAGAAATGACATTCTAACTAGTTTCTACCATATTTGGATCTTGAAAAATTTCAAGGCTGTAGGAAAAATTGAAATAATAGTACAGTGACTTTACCTATATATACCCTTTACCTAGATTCACCATTTGTTAATAGTTTGCCACATTTACTTTATTTCTTATATACTTTTTTAACTGAAATATTTGAAAGTTATAGATTTCATCCTTAAATTCTTCAGCATTAATCTAAGAACAAGGACATTCTCCTCTAAAAACACAATACAGTACCAAAATCTAACACTCCCAAAATCTAACATTGAGATACAGCGGTGTTATTCAGTATGCAATCCATATTGACATTTCTTCTGATCTGTAATCAGATGAGTTCTCCATTGCACCACTGGCCTGTTGACATATTTACATTTATTATTTGTCCTAATAATGTCCTTCATAGCTACTACTACCCCACTTCAATTCAGGATCCAATCAAGGGTCGCACTAAATTTAGTTGTCACGTAAACTAAATATTTTGGTTAAAGACCTTTTCTAGGAAGGTGATAACATATTTAAAAATAAATTTGAAGGCTGAGCCCGTGGCACACTCGGGAGAGTGCAGTGCTGGGAGCACAGAAGCGCTCCTGCCGCGGGTTCGGATCCTATATAGGGATGACCGGTGCACTCACAGTGTTCACTGGCTGAGCGCGGTGCAGCCGGTCTCAAAAAGGACAAAAAAAAAAAAATAAAAGTAAATTTGATCTATAATAATTAATATCACCTGGTAATGAAAAGCGTTCACTAATCTGATACAGTGGTATCTATCTCATTATATTAATTCTTTATTCTAACACTAGGTTCTTCTGTGTGGCAGCTCAGAATGATGGATCAAGCTAGATCAGCATTCTCTAACTTGGTGAGATATTTTCAGTTGTAATTCATTGTCCACAACAATGCGAAGTATACAAGCATGACTTTCACCCACTAAGCAAGAAATAATACCCAAAGCTATCATCAGGTATTCATTTTCATTTGAACTGGGGGTTTTGAGGCATAACTGATTCCACAAAAGAAGGGGTATCTTCATTCTTGAGTATGTTTAATTATGGAAAATATTGTAAGAAATTTCAGGGTGGTTTGGATGTGGTGGAGGGAGACAGCCAAGCAGATAAGGTGAACTAAAGAAAGCACTGTTCAAAATGTATAGTAGGATTCTTATTTATAAAGTGATGGGGAAAAAAATGTATAGTAGGAGACATACAAAACAGAAACCCTGAATGAAAAGGCTGAATAAGATGAAGACCAGTGTGTGTGATCTGGCCCTTATCTGCCATTGACAGGGAAGAATGTTGATTTGAAAGGGGAATTTCTTTTCCCTTAAGAATGTATAGCAAGTTACAGTGATGGCCCAATAACAAGTATAGTATCTGACCAAACTTTTCTGCAAATGTTCCTATTCTCTTCTTTATAATGCTTTCTCTTTTTTTTATTTTTCAAAAAAATCTTAGTTTGGTGGTGAACCATTGTCATACACCCGGTTTAGTCTGGCTCGGCAAGTAGATGGTGATAACAGTCATGTGGAGATGAAACTAGCTGTAGATGAGGAAGAAAATGCTGACAATAACATGAGGGCCAATGTCACAAAACCAAAAAGGCTTAATAGAAGTATTTGCTGTGGGACTATTGCTGTAATCATCTTCTTCTTGATTGGTAAGAATGGTCATTCAAAACTTAAATGTTCCTTATAACCAACTCTGGGAAGTCTGTTATTTCAGCTAGTAAATACTAATTTTGGGCTTTTTAAAGTGCTATTGTGCTAGGTACTAGGAATATGATGACCAAAATTCTGTATCTGCCATTGAATTTAATTTGTTGGGAGAAAGGAGATATATATCATTTCAATATAATGTACAAATGTTATACTAGAAATATGCACAGGATATTTGTAGCATAAAACTTAGCCTAAGGTTTCAAGGAAGGCTTCTGGGAAGAAAAGGTACCTGTGCTTGAACGTGTAATTGTATAAAATAAAGGCATTATATAGTTTATTGGGTTAAATGGTTTAAAATATACAAACCTTTCAGACTACTTAGAATTTGATTAAAACCAGTATTTTTAAGGCATAGCTGAACATATTAACAACTTCTATGGGAATAGATTATGAATGAAATTCTGTGTTTAACTCTGAAACTTTTTTTATCTTTAGGATTTATGATTGGCTATTTGGGCTACTATAAACGTGCAGAACCAAAAGCTGAGTGTGAGACACCATCAGTAACAGAGTCTCTAGAGATGGAGGAGTCAAAAGAGGACTTTCCTGAAATACCTTCTCAATTATATTGGGCAGACCTCAAAACAATGTTGTCAGAGAAATTGAATACCACTGATTTCACCAGCATCATCAAGTAAGCTTGAGCTACTTCACAAATTCAACCTCAATATCTAAACAAATACTTATTGATTATTAGGTATGGTGAAACAAAATAAGGGTGACAGAGAAAAGATTTTTTAAGAGGAAAGACTTTTTAGAGTAGGGGAGACTTCCCATACTTAGCTATAGGGGTAAGGGGTCCTTAAAGTATTGAAACTATGCTGATAGGGAAAAAAGTTAGAACTGTTCTGGGGATACTTTCTTTTTTCTTAAAGAAATTCTTGGGTTAATCTTTTTGCTATCTGACTTTTTGTAGCTTATTGCTTGTTGTCAGTGTTTATTCTGCTCTGATTTCCATCTAAACCTATTGTGACATGATGCTGAGCTCTGCTACTGTCCACTTCTAGACCATGACTAACTTGACATTTTTTTGATTTCTGCAGGTTCTTACCCATTAATCCATACACCAAGAAGTTGAGGTTTCTTCCTTAGATTTTTTAATATCTTCCTTAGATACGTGTCTGTGTAAAGAACAATTTTGTCTTTTACCTTTTGCTAGCTTCCTGCAATTTCAGTGGTACTATAACTCTTTTAGTCTTAACTTAGAAATCTTGGCACTTTTACTTCATCTAGTGAATACTTTTTTGTATATACCATACACCAGTCATTATGGATAAAGTGAGAGTATAGTCCACTCACACACACAAAATCAAAGAACTGATATGTTGAGTATATTTAGAAAGAGCCACAGAGATCAGAACAAGGAGCAATTTTGCTTCCAGGAGATTCAGAATGCTTCAAAGCTATACGTCTTGAGTTCACCAACAGTATTACTGTCTTTCATTTTGCTTATAGTAGATCTCCTGGAAGCTACTCACTTCCCCTAAAACCACTCTAAGCATATATATTGTATTAGTATGGAGCTTTCCTTGAAGGAGTGCTTTATGGTGATAAAGAGGTCTTAACAAGTTTGAAGTCATAAGTTACTCAAGATATTGGGCACAATTTTTTTTCTTCTATGTTTGTCTCTTGGGGGATCCATCCAGATGTTCATTTATCCTTTTTTTTTTTCCTTGGTGGCTGGTTGGTACAGGGATCCAAACCCTTGACCTCGGTGTTATCAGCACCACGCTCTCCCAAGTGAGCTCTCCCAAGTGAGATAACCGGCCAGCCCCAGTTCATTTATCTTAACTATGAGGAATAGTACTGAGTTATTCTTTCAAGACAATTTGCTTGATTCTTGAGTTAAACGTTTATTTAAAATTAGATTTAAGTTTAAGTTTAACAAAGATGTTTTCTCCTCTAGGCAGCTGAATGAAAATTCTTATGTCCCACGTGAGGCTGGATCTCAGAAAGATGAAAGTCTCGCATTTCTTGTTGAAAATCAATTCCGTGAATTTAAACTCAGCAAAGTCTGGCGTGATGAACATTTTGTTAAGATTCAGGTCAAAGGGAGGTATGTTGAAAGATGGTAAACTTATTTCATAGAAGTAGCTAGCTACTTTCAGGTGTGCTAAATATAGCAAAGATTTTTGAAATAAAAATTAAGATTTAAGATTTAGAGCTAAATTTTCTCAAGCCAAATATGCAAGTCAAATGCTCAATGTACTGAAGCTATTTAATTTTTTGTTTGTTTAGTTTTTTTATTCAAGGATGGCTTAGCTTCATTTTAACTTAATCTTTTTTAATAGTGCTCAAAACTTGGTGACTGTAGTGGATATGAACAATGACACAGTATCCTCGGTGGAGAGTCCTGAGGGTTACGTGGCATATAGTAAGGCTACGACAGTTACTGTAAGTAAGGCAAAACTGTGCATGAGACTCTTCCCTGTTGAATAGCTCTAAAACTCATTATCTTTATTGTTCTTAGGAGTCATAGTGTGAATTTACTTGTAAAATGTAACTGATCATGAAATGTTTTTGTTCCCAACCTGCCAGTGCCACAGTCAATATAAAATGCAAAGTGCTCATCGTGGTACTTTGGGGGCCCTCACTAGTCTTACTACTCTCCTCACTCACTCTGCTCTGGCCACTCTCACTTACCTACTTGCTGTTCTTTATACGAGAACATGCTCCAACCTCGAGACCTTTATAAAACTTGCCTTTCCCTTTGCCTGGACCAGTCTTCTCCTAAATATCCTCATGGCTTGTTCCCTTACTCTGTGCAAATCTCTTCTCCAACATTACTTCATTGTTGAGGACTTCCTTGATTATTTTGTCGAAGATGTCCTCCCTCTAATCATTTTATTTATCCTGCTTTATTTTTCTTCATAGTATTTGTAGCACCTGACATTATCTATTGATTTGTTTCCACTGGAATATAAGGTACATGAAGATTTAGGGGTTAGTTTGATTTACTGCCATGTCCCAGAGTCTTGGAGAGTGCCTGACACATGGTAGTATTTGCTAAATGAATCCATATATCAGATTCCCCCTTGTGTGGAGACAGATCTAAATATCCATCTTGGTTGGGGTCTAGTCTTATGATTCTTCAATGCTTGATCTTTTTAAATTTAGGCAAATATAGCCAAACTATTACAGAAATAGAAAACAGCTAGATAGAGTAGACCATTTTCAGGTTAAAAGCCACATATTTGTTATGTCAGGGTTATATTTAGTGGGTGCCTTTCGAGCCAGATGATGTTTTGTGGTTATTCTCTGCCTTCCTGATTACTTGTGCTGTATCAGTTTCCCTGGCTACCTAAAAACCAGGAGTTTGGAGATGGGTAGATTGTTTTGTTAAAGAACAATGAGGGTTTTAGTTCACCTGCAAGCTTCCTATGTTCAGATATTTGGTAGTTAATGTCAGTATATAGATAGTTGTTCATCTGAACTCTGATAGAGTTTAGGTACATTATGATGATAGTTTGTATAAACATCTAAAAGTTAGTTTATGCAAGTCCCTTTATTGTAAAGGATAGTCTTTAACCATTTTTGGACAAGTTTATTATCAGACCTTTCAGTTAAAACCTATTCCTATGTATGTCCTCAGTTGTCTGGGGTTCAGGTGTGGGAATCTTATGTAATGGTGCTGCCATGACTAGTTTCATATACCTCTGTTTAACATATCATATCCTATTACCCTTTCTTTTTCCTAGAAATATCTGAAGCATGTAAAATACCCTTTAGATTAAAGATAGCATGGGATGATGAAAGACATGAATATAGGAAGCCAGAAATCTTGATTTCACTCCTGATAACTCTGACCAGTTTTGACTTTAAAACTCACATATATCTTTTTTAGGATTTGGCCACGTTTTTTTTCCTCTTGGTTTCCTCTCAGGTTCAATCTGTAAAACCCTTCTGTCTCAGATTATAGAGCTGTTCTGATACCATAGTGCTCATAAATCTAATGTCTTTGTTTCAGGGTAAACTGATCCATGCTAATTTTGGCACTAAAAAAGACTTCGAGGATTTAAACTCTCCTGTGAATGGATCTTTAGTGATTGTTAGAGCAGGCAAAATCACTTTTGCAGAAAAGGTGAGTAGGAGTTGGTAAATACATTGGTATCTTATTATTCTTCAGTTAAACGGTATTTCTTGTTTATTTTCTCACATTCTGAAAACCAGCAGTCTAAAATTCCCATACCTGATAATATAATTTATTAAAGTGCTGAACAAATCATATAAGTTAGAGTTGCCTAAAGTCACAGAATACTTCAAAACTGTGTATGTCCACTTGGAGTATTTTGCAGCCTTTGCCTTTCAGTGAAAAGGAAGTAATCAGAAATGCTTAAGTGAAAGTTTATTAAATTGTGTCTGTGTAACCCAGTTTTATGTATATATAAAGAATTCAGTTATAAGTATGTTTTATGAAAGGAAAATTAAAAGCCGAACCTATAGAAGGGATTAGACTGGAACATATCAAAGGATAGTGGTTTCTTGAATGGATTTTTATTATTTTTCTTTCTTCCAAACTCTCCTTAATTAATGAGTTAATTTTAAAGGAAAAATTTTTTCTGAGTGTACAAGCTATTTGAAACCTGGGAGTATCAGTCTAGTCCTCTGTGACCATTTGTCTTTAGCATAAAGTGTAATGTATTATTCTTATTTTATATGATCAGATCTTAATCTTCTGAGCTTTATATGTTTTTCTTTAGGTTGCAAATGCTGAAAGCTTAAATGCAATTGGTGTCTTGATATACATGGATTGGGCCAAGTTTCCCATTGTTAAGGCAGAGCTTCCATTCTTTGGACATGTAAGTTCTTATTTCTTGAGTAAGTGGGTTTTGGGGTTCTACAAATTGTTACTGGATTCCATCTACAAAAGTGGAAATAGAACTGTGTCTTATAGGGAACGTCTTTAATAAATGCCTGATAGACCTAATTACTCTTTTGTTTTACTAGGCTCATCTGGGAACAGGTGACCCTTATACACCTGGATTCCCTTCTTTCAATCACACTCAGTTTCCACCTTCTCAGTCATCAGGATTGCCTAATATACCTGTCCAAACAATTTCCAGAGCTGGAGCAGAAAAGCTGTTTGCGTAAGTTCCTATTTGAAAGTACTCTTGCAGGGTGAGGTTTTATGATTAGGGAAGAATGATAATATATTTAAGTTGATTTGATCAAATCTTAAAACAATTGCTTATAATTATCCACATTTGGGCATTTGGGGGATGGTTAGCTATTAATTTGGTATAGATAAAAATGAAAGTTTTCCTCCATAAAGTGATTTTTAATAATAGACATTGGATTTATAAACTCCCTGTCCAATTTACCCAGTGAATTCCATGTGCAATATTTCTGGCATAGCTTATGCTTGAGTACTTCCTGTGGTGAAGCACTTTGTTGCCTATGCCAACCCATTTAGTTATTGGAGAAAATGTTAGTTCATATTGAGCTGAAATTTTACTCCCTGTAACACCCATTAGTTCAGGATTGTTTTCTTTTTAACAGCAGAACAATTGCAATTTCCTTGTCTATAGACTAATAGCCTCACTTTTCATGACAGTTTCCACATGCTTTATGTTTATGATTAGTTCTTCTGCATATCCTACCTAGTGGGTTTAAAAGTAGAGCCAAGTCTGATTAGAGTACATATCATTAATTTTTATCTTGATGTGGACATATTTCCCACCTGGTATTGTTATAGTTTCAAACTCTTATGCAAACATTTATTTGCTGTGTGATGTAAAACAAGTTACTCTAAGCCCTCTGATTCTGTTTCTTCAACTTTTTGGATAGCTAAAATATATAATGTTTAATAGAGTGGTCTCAAACGGAGAGCACCTACATGTAAGGGCTTTGTGAAATTCTATATGACTATCAGTAATGCTAAGTGACATTTGAAATAGGTGATTCTTGTTGACTTATACCAAACTTAGAATCAGGTAAGTCTACCCACCATCTATAAATCTTTCTTAACCTGTGAAGCCAGCCCCCTATCTTACCCTCTTGTAGTAGGGGGTAATGATGTTTCAACCTATATGTAAGCCTCTTGGGAGCAGTCATTGTTTGCATAATACATGAAGAATTAGATAGAGGAAGATATGTAACTACAAGCAGCACAGCAATATTCTTTTATAACTAAGGTAAGAATGTACATTACTCCTGTTAGTGGAGAGGCTTGAAAAACATGAAAATATATTAATGGACTTTTATAGAAGACCTTTATTCTGACTCCATCTTGGTACATATTTAAAATGTAAACTATAGTATGTCTCTGGCAGAAAGGCATACATCAGATGAGGACAGGTAGAGAAATTTTTTAAAAACATTGTTTAAACTAAGAAGTTACTTATGGTTTTCAAATGACTGCCTATAGAACAGAGTAAGACACAAATGGTTGGCCACTAGGGAGTACATTTTATATTCTCTTTATACGTCCTCTTAACCTAGAACTTTGCTGAACAGAAAATATGACTGATTTTGTAAACCTGGGGAAAATAACAATAACTTAGAACTCTGATGCCTGTTTTTTACTTCTAGAAATATGGAAGATGACTGTCCTTCTAGGTGGAATACAGACTCTTCATGTAAGCTATCCTTACAAAATAAGAAAGTGAAGCTCACTGTGAACAATGTGCTCAAAGAGACAAGAATTCTTAACGTCTTTGGAGTTATTAAAGGCTTTGAAGAACCAGGTAAAGACCTATGTATTGTTTTTATTTTTTTATTTTTATTTATTTTTTAAATTTTCCTTGCTATTCTTAAGGATGTGGCCAGAGAAGGAGGGAGTGCAGGAAAGTCTCCTTGGCTTGGCTTTGTGAAGTGCTAAATCTTAGTCTGTCCTAAAGTGAGCTGTTTTGATGTCAGCTTCATTGGGAGGTAATGAGGCCCTAGAAAATTGACCTTTTATAAACTGACCATTATGACTAGAAAATCTATTTTAAGTTATTGACTAGACCAGCAGTAAGCAAATTTCTTCTTAATGGGTCAGATAAACATTTTGTGGGCTATACCATCTTTGTTGCAACTATTCTGCTCTTCCATTGTAGCACAAAAACAGGTATAGACAATACATAATGAATGGGCATATAGGCTGTAGTTTGCCAGTTCCTGGAATAGACTATTTAAATGCAGTCAAATAGTCTTATCGTTTAGTAAGGAAAGCCCTTGGACTTAAGTTGTTTATTAAACAATTAGCATAAATAAGTAGCCAGTGAGTAAATTTAATTGGTAATGTAGAAGCAGCATAGCAATACTAAGAAGGAAAAAAAGATGAGTATTGTGATGTGAATTTTTAATCCCTGGAGTCCTAAGTCACATCTGAAATAAGCCTCTTTTATCCTTAATACATGTACTATACTTTCACCCTTCTACTGACATGCTTATTCTAGACTTCAGTATTTGAAAACAGTTAAAAACCTGATTGCATAAGTTACCTTTTTTTTTTTTTTTTCTTCAAAGATCGCTATATTGTAGTAGGGGCCCAGAGAGATGCCTGGGGTCCTGGAGCTGCAAAATCCAGTGTAGGAACAGCTCTTCTATTGAAACTTGCCAGGATATTCTCTGATATGGTTTTAAAAGGTAGAGTACAAATTTTGAGACCTTTGAACTTTTATGTGTTACTTACAGTTGTAGATGTTAGCATATGGTTTGCTTACTTTTGCCTATATTCTTATGGTTTTCTCATGCTGGACCCTTAGTTCTTAAACAAAAGGCAGTCTTTTGACTTTGAAACAGCTTTTTGTGAAAGTGTCTTCATTGCACTGGGAATCATCAATTTCTTTGAGACACTGGAAGGTGTTATATTGAGCCCTAATTCTTAGTTTGACGTATTCAGAATGACATGGTAAATCTAACATAGTCCCTAAGGAATCTGTTGGAAAGCAGTGGCATACCTCTATACCAAGGTGCTAAGACCTACAACTATTAACTATTAATTTGTTCTGCTTAATTTCAAGCCTTTCTTTCATGGTATTAGTCACTCCTCCACACCAGCTTACACACATACAAACCCACATCATGTTCTTGAATCTTTGGGTCATAGGGTAAATTGCAGTGCTTAACTTTTTTTTTTTTTTCCTTTTTGTCTTTTTTACTGACTGGTAACGGGATCGCAACCCTCGGTGTTGCGCCCGCACCACGCTCAGCCAGTGAGCCGGAACCGGTCTCCACATGGGATCCGAACCCTTGGCGGGAGCGCCACCGCACTCCTAAGCGGCGCACTCTCCAGTGCGCCACCAGGCCGGCCCAGTGCTTAACTTTTATACAAAGTATGTTAATGCATAAAATACATACCCATGGAAGTGGCGGTATGGGGGGCAGTGGCACATGTAGCCCCAAAAGGAGCCTTCACAAATGTAATTTCTCTGGAAACTCTATAACTTTGTGAATTTTCATTCTATCTCATAATAATTGTTTTTAAAATAATCCTCTAAGCAGATTGTTCTTAAAGAAGAAACACTTCATACTTACACTGTGATTTCATATATTTCTTGGTCCAGAAGTTAAGGGATTCAAAGAACGGAATTATAAAAGACTACCAATAAGCTAGTTCCTGCTATACACTTGAATTCTTATTTACAGACAATTTCCTATCCTGTTCATTGCAGATTACTTTTAATATTCCTTTTTTTTTGAAGGCTGGTCAGTATTGGGGTACAAACTCTTAGAACTTGGTGTTGTAACACTGCTCTCTAACAAACTGAGCTAACTGGCCAGCCCCAATTCCTGATTATTGCTCTTTCACTTGGCATCTCAAAAGGAAAAGATATATTTTTGAATCTACTACCTTGAATTTGAAGCTTCTCTGATTCATCTTAAGTTAGTTGTCTGCTTATGAACTTTCCCAGGATAAAGCTAACTTTTTGTTCTCTTTCAGATGGATTTAAACCCAGCAGAAGCATTATCTTTGCCAGCTGGAGTGCTGGAGACTTTGGAGCTGTTGGTGCCACTGAATGGCTAGAGGTATTATTTATATATCATCCTTGCCTAGAATGGGCATTAAACTTGTATTGGCTTAAGCTGCCCTCCAGAAACAATGCTCTTTTAGGTTTGATTATACTATTTTTGCCTTTATATATTTAGTCTCAATAGAATCCAAATTTCAAAATGAATCCCTCATAATAGCTCCTCTGTGTAATGAATAAATAAATAGATTAATACATATTAGGACATTACTATTTTCCCTTCTCTTCTAGGGATACCTTTCCTCCTTGCATTTAAAGGCTTTCACTTACATTAATTTGGATAAAGCAGTTCTTGGTAAGTATCCTTTTTATTAGCTGTTTATAAATTCAGGTAAACAACTTGAAATAGTGGAGGAAAGCTCTCTAAAACAGCACTTTTTTTTTACAATTTACATTGGCCGTAACAAGATCAAAAGATTGATTTAGCTTTCTCTTAAACAGTCCATCAAGTTACAGAAAGGGTGCAGATTGCCTTGTCTAGAGCAGTGGTTCTCAATGTGGTCCTCAGATGAATAGTATTAGGACCACCTGAGAACTGTTAGGAATGCAAATTTTTAGGCTCCAGTCTAGAACTTTTGAGTCAGAAACTACAGCATAGGTTCAACAAACTGTGTTTTAACAAGCACTCCAGGTGATTCTTATGGTACTAACGTTTTAGAACTGCTAGTCTGGACTATATGTTAGACCATAAGGAACTAAACCATACCATATAGAATGGTACTTTTAGAAACTAATTCACATCCTGCTAGATTGTGCCATCACTGATAGAAGTACTGGATAATCAAACTTCTAAAAGAGTGAATGTTACTGAAAGTGCATATGTCGCCAATGGATGAACCAAGAATAGTAAAATGTCTACACTGGGAAGAAAAGGGAAGGAGTTACAACAATTAAACTAAATCTTTATTAGATTAGTCATTATTTACCTGTTTTACCTCTGCAGCAGAAGGTATTGAGTATAGCAAGCTTACTATAGCTAGCAGATGACTGCCCTAACCTGGGTGAACTAAAAAGGTTAAAAAAAAAAAAATCACAATTTGATAATGTGGGAGGTGCAGGGGCAGCGGATATATAGGTAATCTCTGTACTTTCCTCTTAATTTTTCTGTGAACCTAAAACTTCAGTAAAAAAGTATTAAAAAAAAAAATCACTAACATTAAAGTATGCACACTCAAGGAGTAAGAGCCTCAGTTGAGTCAAGTTAGAGTTAGCATAGTTGCTAAAGGACTTGACTCCTAAATTACTTTTTGTCTACTTTATTAATAGGATAGTTGTTGTATAGGGCCACTGATCTGTGTCACTGTCTTCATGTTTGTCATTTAGTTTTAGTTGTAGAAGCAGCAGTGTGAAATTCTCTTGATTGGAGAAAGGGCAATGTTAAAATAATTTCTTTGCAGGTACCAGCAACTTCAAGGTTTCTGCCAGCCCACTGTTGTATACGCTAATTGAGAAAACGATGCAAGATGTGAGTGTATATCTAATTACAAAAATGTACCACTTCATTTTTTGTCATTTACATAAAATGAAAAACATTGGTATTTAAGCCATTATCAGTAACCAGTAAGAGGAATTTAGAATAAGTTCTATAGCAGCAATAGTTATGATTTTATCTTACTGGTCCCTACCCTACTGAACTATGTGAAGTAAAGGAGGTGGTATATAAAGGGCTCTGATCTCAAAGAATATGTAGTCTATTTAAGAATATATAACAAAATGCCATGAGGCCTAAGCTGTCCTGTAGGAGCCCACAGGGAATTGTCTATAAAGTCAGAATGTTAAGGAAGGTTTAAGTGGACTTGAACTATCCTTAAGACTTAAATACGAAGGCCAGATGAAACATTCATTGAATACAGACAGACATGTGAATGACCATAGTTTTGAATGAGGGAGGAACACATGAAAGAGAATGTTTGCCTAATGGGGTTAGAGGCTACATGTTGGAGTAATTAAAGTAGGAGGGAAACGAAGGTCAGATGGTAGACCTTGGCCTTGATCCCATGGGAAACAAGAGATTACTATAGGGTCTCAAACAAGGCAGTAATATATTTGCTAATTAGGCTGGCAGTATAAAATGTGCTAGAAGGAAGAAATCAGAAACAAAATAGGCATATCATTAAGTTTACAGAGGGCTTTTGAAATTGTGGTTAAGCCATCTTTAAAATGTCAATTAAGAAGGAAGACATTTTTTTCCTCACCAAAATTAAAGCAACTGACAGCATGAACCTAGTAGGAATAACTTTGAGATTGTTTTTTTTCTCTTTTTTCCTTCTCCTCCCTCCTCCTCCTCCTCCCCTTTGAGATTGTTTTAACTGTCTTAAAGAAAATTTTATTCAAGAAGATACAGTAAAAATTTAATACTTTTATAAGTGTTTATAAAGAGAAACATGTTAGTAACTAGCCTGAATAACTAAGTTCAGAAAAGTTGGTTGTTTTTTTTTTGTTTGTTTTTTAAAAAGATGACCGGTAAGGGGATCTCAACCCTTGGCTTGGTGTTGTCAGCACCACGCTCAGCCAGTGAGCAAACCGGCCATCCCTATATAGGATCCGAACCCGTGGCCTTGGTGTTATCAGCACCGCACTCTACCGAGTGAGCCACGGGCCGGCCTCAGAAAAGTTGGTTTTAATGATAAATTAACTTCTTAATTTACAGGTGAAACATCCAGTTACTGGGCGGTCTCTATATCAGGACAGCAACTGGGTCAACAAAGTGTAAGTTGAGAAAAGTGAATGAACAAGCTAATAGAAAAGCAGTATTGCCCAGTAGCACCTACTATTTAGGTAGAGATCTAAACCTAATCTTGCAATGAGCTTACCTATCCCCAGAGAGATTCAGTTTAAGAATTTATTTGGGGTAGGGAGAAGGTTGCATGGAAGCACAGTCTGTTCTTTAGAAACCTTTCTAAACACACATTCTCGCTTTCCTTGCAGTGAGAAACTTTCTTTTGATAATGCTGCTTTCCCTTTCCTTGCATATTCTGGAATCCCAGCAGTTTCTTTCTGTTTTCGTGAGGTAAGTCTGAAGAACTCTAAAGCATTACATCTTAGATCTTCTTGTATCAACTTTGAGACCAAGTTTCCTAGAGTGCTTAAAATCTTTGAAGTTATACACATGTAATTATTACATACTTTCTTATTATCAGTCTTAATATAGACTTATCTCAATTAGCTTAGTTAACATTTCAGTTTATTGCTAAAATTTCTTCAATGAAGTCTGCTGAGTTTTAATAACAAGGCTTAATTTCTTGAATGATTGAGTATCTAATGGCTACCTATTGGACAGTGCACGCATAGAATATTTCCATCAAACAAAGTTCTACTAGATGACGCTGTTCTAGATACCTGTTGAAATACAGTTCTAGATGTTTACCCAGAGATGTTAGTCTCTTAAGTAGGGATTATGGGTAAAAGCACAAAAACCAAACAGATGTAAGGTTGTCATGAGACAGAACTTTGAACTGAACAAGTTGAGGAAAACAAGATTAGCTTGGTACAAGAACCAATTCAAAGGCACTGAAGGTCAGGCAGAGTAAACAAAATGATAAGGACTTCTGTGCTGAAGTGCTAGAGTTGGAAAACTGGCCCTGTAGTGAGGTCTTCTGACAGTGAAGAGATCCTAGAGTTTGTGTAGGGGGTTGGGGTAGAAGCTGTTGACTTTGGCATCAAATTATTGATCTAGCAGAGGCCAGGTCCGTACTGGACTTCTTATCACTGGGTGTTTTATTTTTTGTTTTGTTTTTGGTTTTTTTAAATTTATTTTATTGAATCAAAATCGATTGTACATATTTTGGGGGGTTGAAATTGAGATATTGATTAAATCAATATTATTAGCATATATATTGTTACAAATCCTAATTATTTTTTATGCCCCTTGTCCAACCTCTCCCCTTCCCCCATTCCCTCCCCCTCCCCTCTCTAATTGCCCTAGGTTTCTTCTCTCTTTCTGAAATAATGGTTATTCTGTTAACTTGTTGCCTAGATGATCTGTCCAATGCTGAGAGATGTGATCAGGTCCCCCAATATTATCATAGAGCAGATGCTTCTTCTGTCACTCTGAAATGGGTTTTGTGGAAAGAGACTTCCTCTTCTTTTCTTTGTCTCTGCTGGTGACTCTTGTGTGAATGCACTCCAGTGGTTGGTGGACCATCTGCGTGGTGGCTATGGCGCATAGCTGCTTTTGCAGCAGCCACGGTTATTGTGGCTGTGGTGGGCCACCCATGTGGAGGTGCTGTTTTTGGCATACTCCTTGGCACTGGCGGCATGCCTGGCTGTGGGGTGTGTTTGGTCCCCTTCTCCATGCCTCTGGTCCCTGGGCAGGCCCCAAGGTGCTGGCGCCATGTGCCTGGTTGTGGGAGAGGGGTCCAGTCCCCTTCTCCATGTCCCAGGTCCCTGGGCGGGCCCCGAGGTACTGGTGCAGTGTGCCTGGTTGTGGGAGAATGGTCCGGTCCCCGACTCCATACTCTGGGTCCCTGGGTGGGCCCCAAGGTGCCGACTGGGTGTTTTAGCTAGGACTAGGAGGGGAAAAGTCTGAAGTGAGGGAGTGATGAAAGATCTACATTTAGAGATTAACAAAGTTGGAATTCTCTTGACCTTCCACTAGAGCAGCAGTATGAGTGGTATTGAAATAGCTGGTCACAATGTCTATTTAGTACATTAGGAAGAACTGGGTGTCAGGTCCTATGGTTGAAGGAATTTATGGATGAGTTTTGCTGACGTTCAAAAGTCATGTTTTTCAAAAACTTCAGATGTAGTCTGAGATGTCAAAACCTTGAGTGTTGTTTAAGAGGTAGGTACAGTAATAGAGAAGTATATAGTCTGAAAGTAATGAATTAAGGTCAAACTAAAGGATTATCAATGCGATTCTCACAAAGGGCAATGGTAGGGAATAAAAGAGTAAGTAATAGTTACCAAAGTTGTCTAATGAAGGTAGACCATCAAACATTCTTGTTAGGAAGGTAACGTGGTTTGGATCCCCTTACCAGATAGCCAAAAAAAAAAAAAAAAAAAAAAAAGTGCTGCACGATTGGGAAGAAGGTATATTTTAATCTAAGAGTAACATTTTATATTGAAAGTACATTTTATGCATGCTCTTCTTTCACCTTTAATATGGGCCAAACTTCCTAAAAACAAGGGATATAGTATCAAGGAATTTGGCTAGAAATCTATTCACAGTATATGATATGATAGTATAAGGATTCTGTAAAACTTGGAAAAAGTAGTCATTCTAGGAGTAGATAGCAAGAATGATGTCTTAAAGCAGCAGATAGGAGAAAAAATTGGGTGGGAATATATTAGAAGTAAGGGAAGAATTGCAGCTATTATTACCTTGATGGTGAAGCCAGGATGTGAAGCTCTTGCTCTCCTAACTCACATGAATATAAAAGCCTAGTTTTCTTTTCCAGGACACAGATTATCCTTATTTGGATACTACCATGGATACCTATGAGGTACTGACTCAGCAAATTCCTCAATTGAATAAAATGGCACGTGCAGCAGCAGAAGTAGCTGGTCAGTTCATGATTAAACTTACCCATGATGTTGAATTGAATCTGGACTATGAGATGTATAACAACAAAATACTTTCATTTGTGAGGGATTTGAACCAATTCAGAGCAGACATAAAGGTGAGCACTAACTGAAATAAGGTTCTTATTGCTGACATATTAAGCAGTTTGAAGTATGATGTCCAAAAGCTAAAGCTGTGTTAAGTTTTCTATCACTCATGCATTCCCGGCAGTCCATAGGTAGGACCCAGAAAATACAAAGATCACAACTATGAGTTTGGACTATATGCCTTTCAGACACAACGTAGATGGAAGGAGAACATAGCCAGTAGTTACTATCGTATTTAGTGTTGATCCTGTGTGCCTAGTGTTCAGACATTAAATTAATATTAATAAGTGTTTTATGGTACTGGGAGTCTATTTAACAGATCCCTTAATTGAAGTAAATCACCAAATTTAATTATTAAGGCTTTCTTGAAACTTGAAACTAATGGAAAATGTTCAGAAAATTGGACTTACCAGATGGAAATAGCTAGATTCTGAAGTTCATTGAACCAAAATGTTTGAGGTTTTCCCCCATAGGGAACTAAAACTGGAAAGAATATAGTGTATAGGGTTATATACTTTTACTAAGTAAATTGTTTTAAATTTCTTGATGAGAATGGTTTTCTTGTGAGGGTAAAAATGGATAATAGTACTATCTGCTGGGCTCAAGTATGGGCGTATTATCTTAGTTTATAGAGTTTGGAAACACTTGAACAAGGTGCTTACGTCCAGCTTTCTGAGTCTTTGGCCTATCTGTGAGTCACTTCCTTCTATCAGAATCTTCTCAGTTGCCACACCTAAATTAGAATGGTATATAGAATAACACCTTAGAAATATAACTTCTTTTTTTTTTTTTTTAAAGATGACCGGTAAGGGGATCTTAACCCTTAGCTTGTCAGCACCATGCTCAGTCTGAACTAACCAGCCTTCCCTATATAGGGGATCTTAACCCTTAGCTTGTCAGCACCATGCTCAGTCTGAACTAACCAGCCTTCCCTATATAGGATTCGAACCCGTGGCCTTGGTGTTATCAGCACCGCACTCTCCTGAGTGAGCCACAGGCCAGCCGAGAAATATAACTTCTAATAGTGAATTTAATATCTTTCTGTTTCAGGAGATGGGCCTGAATCTACAGTGGCTATATTCTGCTCGTGGAGACTTTTTTCGAGCTACTTCCAGGCTAACAACAGATTTCAAGAATGCTGAGAAAACAAACAGATTTGTCATGAGGGAAATTAATGATCGTATCATGAAAGTAAGTAAGCGCTTAGAAAAGGGGCAATTATTTAAAGTATGTTAAATTTTTAGTTTATAAGTTTGCATTTCTAAAAAGTGGAGTAACTTGAGGAGCCTGGAATCCTTTGCTGCTATAGAATTGAGTACAGATTTTCTCTTTTACAAGATCTAAAACCAACATATCTAAACCAAAAATACAAGAGACATTTACCCTATTATTAATCCTTTTAGACTTCAAAAAGATTTTTTTAGAAGAAATCAGTAATGATTTTTAGCTATCATTTTCTGTTTCTGTTATCTCATTCAGGGCTTAATTAATCAAGCCTTAACTGCTTTATCCTAGTCTGCTTGGAAAAAACAAAGGACCTGTCGTGTACCCTCATATACACTCTAACCAAAAAAAAAATCTCAGTACAATTAAAGTTGACTATTACAAAGGAATTGACAGTTTGATTTAGAATTTTAACCTTAAAAGATCAGGAGCCTGGTTCTCAACATGCTTAAATTCAGGGAAATTTTAACATTTGTAGTGAGAGACTGACAGTTTTACTATGTTAGCTTCTTTCCTCACAACAAAAGTCATAGCACTGGGTAAGCTGTCTTGTATGTTTTGTTTTCATAGGTGGAATATCACTTCCTCTCACCCTATGTATCTCCAAGAGATTTTCCTTTCCGGCATATCTTCTGGGGCTCTGGCTCTCACACTTTGTCAGCTTTACTAGAGAACTTGAAGCTGCGTCAGAAAAATAACGGTGCTTTTAATGCAACACTATTGAGAAACCAATTGGCTCTAGCTACTTGGACTATTCAGGGGGCTGCAAATGCCCTCTCTGGTGACATTTGGGACATTGACAATGAGTTTTAAATGTGATACCCATAACTTACATAAGAATAGCAGGGTAGTCTGGTTTCTAGACTTGTGCTGGTTGTGCTAAATTTTCAGTAGGGCTACAAAACCTAATGTTAAAATTCCTCCCAGTCATTTTGGTACTACTAGATGTTTTTAGGCAGCAGCTTTTAATATATGGTAGGTACCTAAACTTAAAGTGAATAATCACTTAAAAAAATGTTCATAATAGAATATTTTCTTTGATTATCTCTAGAATATTAAGTGCTTTGTAATGGTAACTGCCTCTTCCCTGTTATAGTTATGAAAGTGTCAGAACCAGATACATGAACCATTGCTCTCAATCCTAAGGACATGAACTGGTATCTTTTGAGGTGGGAGGAAGAAGGTGGTTCTACTGAGGGTTAAAAGTGGTAGTTTACTGTGATCTTCCTCCATCTTCATTTGATGCTAAATAGGAGATACCAGGTTGTAAGATGTTATTCTCTAAATGAGATATATGTCTTTCCATACGGATTTATCTGGTTTCTGCATCCCTGAATGAAACAGTTAACTTTCAGAAGAGATGGGACTTGTTTTCTTGCCAATGAAGTCTGAAATAGAGGTCCTTCAGCTGGCTATAATGAGGTTCGACTGTTTATTGCAGGAGTCAGGCCTTAATGTGTTAACCTCAATGTTATGAAAAGAGGAGACCAGAAGCCAAAGACTTAGTATATTTTCTTTTCCTCTGTCCTCTGCCCCATAGTCCTTTGTTTAGTTCTTTGTTGTTTTTATTTTTTCCAAAGTATTTTGAAAGAGCCAGTTTCAGGTGTTTAAATTTCAGACTCAGTTTGTCAGACTTAAAGAACACACTGCCAAATTTTGGCTGAAGTGTTAACTAATCTTTTGGGAAAGCTTTCTGTCATTTTGGCACTGAGATATTTATTGTTTATTTATCAGTGACAGAGTTCACTATAAATGGTGTTTTTTTTTTATAGAAGATAATTATCGGAAGCAGTGCCTTCCATAATTATGACAGTTATACTGTCGTTTTTTTAAAATAAAAGCAGCATCTGCTAATAAAACCCAACAGATACTGGAAGTTTTGCATTTGTGGTCAACATTTGAGGGTTTTAGAAAATAGCCACAAGCCAAATAAAATTATAAAGCCAAGTATTAGAGAAAAATTAAATTATTAGTTGCTCATTAGACTTCTATTTAGCTGACCAGATAAAAATGATAGTTCTCCCAAATGTAATGAATTGTGACTAAGTTATAAATAAATGTCACTTAAAGGCTGTGGTACGGCCGGCCCGGTGGCGCACTGGATAAGTGCGCCGCTTGGGAAGCGCGGCGGCGCTCCCGCCTGAGGGTTTGGATCCCACATACAGACCGGTTCCCACTCACTGGCTGAGCGAGGCGCGGGAGCGACACCGAGGGTTGCAATCCCGTTGCCAGTCCCCGGTCCGGTGTGGCGGCAACACTGAGGGTTGCGATCCGTTGCCGGACAACGGAAAAAGACAAAAGACAAAAAAAAAAAAAAAAAGGCTGTGGTAGTACTCATATATGCAAGATTTTACAGCTTAGTTTATCCAAGGTGTAACTTTAATTCCAATTTTGCAAAATTTCCAGTACCTTTGTCACAAACCTAACACATTATCGGGAGCAGTGTCTTCCATAATGTATAAAGAACAAGGTAGTTTTTGCCTACCACAGTGTCTATATCGGAGACAGTGATCTCCATATGTTACACTAAGGGTGTACGTAATTATCGGGAACAGTGTTTCCCATAATTTTCTTCATGCAATGACATCTTCAAAGCTTGAAGATAGTTAGTATCTAACATGTATTCCCAACTCCCTATAATTATCTATCTTTTAGTTGCAGAAACATTTTGTGGTCATTAAGCATTTGGTGGGTAAATTCAACCACTGTAAAATAAAATTACTTTCTTCAAGATTCTTTAAAAAAAAAAAAAAAAAAAACTTCATGTGAATGTTTTGTTATCTTTGTATCTCCGGGTCTTCGTTCGTGGGAAAGTAGCATACATTTATAATGTTTGCTGTTGACAAATGAATTTAACTTTATCCCCTTATTTGCCTGTTATCTCCTATAAACTTAGTTCAGACAAGTTTGAATCCAGAATTGACCTTTTGGCTTAAAGCAGGGGGAAAGTGTATAGGAGGTTTGGGGGGAGGGGGGAGTAAAGTGGGTGAGAAGGCAAAGCTTGCAAAAGGATCTTTGATCATGTCTACCTACCCATTAATATATTTTAGTGGTTATAAGTTAAATGTAGATATGAACAAATAAGTTTGAGGCTACATGAGTAAAGATTTTAATTTCTAGTCAGCCATTGTTATAAATCTGATAAATCACCTGTCATAGGACAGCTCAGAATTGCCACCTAAGAAAAAATCTATAGGGTTTCTTAAGATTCTTAAACTTAATGTCAACTTACCTAAGACAGTAGACCTAGATTATTATAGGCTCACTGAACTGTTTTGTTACTCAGTCTCTTTAATCTTCATAGTGTTTTTATCTTGGACTGATATTTAGCGTAGCTAAGTGAAAAGGTCATAGCTGGGATTCCTGGGTTGAGTATCATGCACACATACTTTAGTGAAAGTTCAGTGACTTCAAAGCATACTGTGAATAAAGGGCATACATTTTATAGCAGTAAATCTCTTCAAAAAACCCTTTTCTATGGTTAGGATTATTTCCAATCAAACAAGTCAGTCCATGGTAAGAGGCTTAATATTCCTGAATGAAATGTATATCTGACTGGTGACAACCTGCTAGTCTTCAGATTTTTTTCTGGTTAAATATCATGTGCATTTTGGAGGTAAAGAATAAAATGAGTGAGCTCTGTCATGATTCACTATTCTAGAGTTTGCATGACCTTTACTGTGTTTGCTCTTTGATGTTCTTGAAATTTTAGACTTACCACCCTACTACTCAGCTATATCTTTGTGAACAAGTGATATGCCCCTAAAATTGTATACAAACTGGTACGTGCAACAATATGGAGATTCTTCATCTGACTTAATAAAATGCTTGAACACTGAATTGTCATATATATATTTTTTACACAGACTTTTTTCTGTTAGCAGTTTTAGGTTCCCAGCAAAATTGAGCAGAAAGTACAGAGTTCCCATATATCTCCTGTCTCTGCCACTCACACACCCTCCACCTTTATGAACATCCAGTACCAGAGTGGTACATTTGTTTCAATTGATGAAGTAAATTTTATGTGTCTTGACAAATTGTATAATGACATGTATCTACCATTATAGATAATACAGAATAGTTTTGCTGCCCTAATCTGTGCTTTGTCTGTTCATCCCTCCCTTCCCACTCCTGGCAACCACTGATCTTTTTACTGTCTCCATAGTTTTACCTTTTCCAGAGTGTCATATAATTGGAATCATATTTATAGCCTTTTTGGCTTCTTTCACTAAGCAATATGCATTTAAATTTCCTTCATGTCTTTTTGTGGCTTAATAGCCCATTTTCTTTTAGTGCTGAATAACAGGACATTGTCTGGATGTACCACAGTATGTTTATCCATTTACCTACTGAACCACATCTTGATTGCTTTCAAGTTTTGGCAATTATGAATAAAGCTGCTATAAATATCTGTGTGTAGGTTTTGTGTAGACATAAGTTTGCAACTCATTTGGGTAAATACCAAGGAGTACAATTGCTGGATCGAATGGCAAGAATATGTTTAGTTTTGTAAGAAACTGCCAAACTGTCTTCCAAAGTAGCTATACCATTTTGCCTGCCCACCAGCAATGAATGAGAGTTCTTGTTGCTCTACATCCTTGCTAGCAGTTTGTATTGTCAGTGTTTTGGATTTTGGCCATTCTAATAGGTGTGTAGTGGTATCTTGTTTTAATTTGCAACTCTCATGACATGATGTTGAGCATCTTTTCATGTGCTCATTTGCCATCTGTATACCTTTGGTGAGGTGGCCAGATCTTTCACCCATTTTTAAATCAGGTTGTTGATTTTCTTTCTTTCTTTTTTTTTTGTGGCTGTGTGGTATGGGGATCCAAACCCTTGACCTCAGTGTTACAAGGCCATGCTCTAGCCAACTGACCTATAAATGGCCAGCCCTGTTATTGTTGAGTTTTAAGAGTTCTTTGTATATCTTGGATAATAATCATTTATCAGGTATGTCTTGCAAATATTTTCCCCATTTATGACTTGTCTTCTGATTCCCTTAACACAATGTCTTTCACAGAGCAGAAGTTTTTAATTCTAATGAAATCTAACTTATCAATTATTATTTATTTCATGGATCACGTCTTTGGTGTGGTACCTAAAAAGTCATTACCAATCCCAAGGTCATTTAGATTTTCTCCTATCTCAGGAGTTTTATAGTTTTGCACTTTACATTCAGATGTATGATCCATTTTGAATTAATGTTTGTGAAGGATGTAAGGACTGTATCTAGATTAAATTTTTTGGCATGTGGACATCCAGTTGGTCATTGGTTTTTGCTAAGAATACTCTAGCAGGACTGTCCAAAAAATATATATTGTGTACCACTTATGTTTTTTTAATTGACAAGTAAAAATTATATATATTTATAGTGTACAGCATGATGTTTTGATATGTGTATACATTGTAGAATGGCTAAATCAAGCTATTTAATATATGCATTCTCTCACATTTTTTGTGGAGAGAACACTTAAAATCTACTCTGAGCAATTTTTAAGTATACAATATATTGTTATTAACTAGTAACCATGATGAACCACATATCTAATTTTAAAGGTTCTTGTAGCCACGTTAAAAAGGTGAAATTTAAGGGCCGAGCCCGTGGCGCACTTGGGAGAGTGCAGCGCTGGGCTCACTGGCTGAGCACAGTGCGGCCGGTCTCAAAAAAGGACAAAAAAAAAAAAAGGTGAAATTTAATATATTTTAATTCAGTATATCCAAAATACTATCATTTCAATATATAATCACTTAAAATTATTACCAAGATATTTTGTATTCCTCTTATCATACTAAATCTTCAAAATCCATTGTACCTTGAGCACTGCACATCTCAATTTGGCTAGCCACATTTCAAGTGCTCAATAGCTACATATGGTTAGTGGACACTGTAGCTCTATAGCAAAATGCATAATTGATAAGGGTTTTCTTTCTTTTACCGGCTTTTTACTGCCAGTTACCAAAAAGGCCATTACACAATTTAATCCTATCACTACATGTGCCAGCCAGGATTCTTCTTCAGTATAGCTGCTGGAATTCCAGCCATCTGTGTCCCAGCTAATTGCCTCACCTATGTTCCAGCTTTCCTGTCAGTTTTTTTTTTTTTTTTTTTTTAATTTTGGCAGCTGGCTGGTAAGGGGATCTGAACCCTCTGCCTTGGTGTTACTAGCACCACACTAACCGAGTGAGCTAACCGGCCAGCCCTCCCTTCAGAATTAGTAGCCACATTCATACCTTTGAGGAGAAGAAAGACAATCATTAAACTGCTGTATTCTACAGGGAAAAGTGCATGTTGAAAAAAGGTGATGGGCTAGGCAGCCCTAAACATCTGAAGATAGCTGGTTATCTGGAAGATACCTTTGCTTGGAATTTAACATCAGATACTAATGTCTTCCTTGAGGCTGTCAATGGGTTTATCTTTTCTTGAGTTAAAGCCTTTGCAGTGTGCTACATCTGTCCTTTAAGCTGCTTAATGCTTAGCCCATCCCAAATGGTATAGTAGTTGTTAATGCCATTTTTGAAAATACAAAGTGATGGTCAAAGTACAGAAGGGTCTGCATTGAAAAATAAGCATTTTCCTCTTGGTCCCCACAGTTTTCCTCCCTCTAAATATCCACAATTATCAATCTGTTATGTACACTTTCAAAGTAGTCTATGCATAAGTGAGAATATGCATGAGACCTTTAAAAAAGCACACATGGGGGTCTGGTTCCACTACCATAATGTAAGCCCCTGACAACCCATCCCTCTTGCAGAGTTGACAGCTATAAACTCTGGATAAAATAGGGAAAAAAGAAAGGATTTAAAACCCGCCCGAGGTCTTTAAGAAATAAACAAAGGCAGGCAGACTGTGAAGAGTAGTAAAACTTGGCAAGAACA